TGGCTGACAGCCTCAATGTCTCCTTACCAATTATGGAATCCTTCCATTTTGAATCTATCGTATCTATTCAGCTCGTATCACATGGGGCGGCCACATCGACCCCGGCCCCGGATTTCCACGCCGCTTCTGAATCGAAGATCCTTCTCGCTCTCAGACCTTATGCGCCGTTTCTAAAGGATTAGCAGTGCAAAGAAATGCAGCAGAAAAAACTTTTGGTTTTTTTTGTTTCTACTGTATCTTGTCTAGGATAGTTACGTGAGTCCTCCGTAGCGTATACCGGTCTCCTTTAGAGGTTAGACTCGACTCAATACCACCGGAACCAGATTTGAGGATCCCATGGAATTGCGCGTGCCAGAACCATGGAAGACAGCCCGTGGTCCGCGTCGTCGGACCCAAACTCAAACCTGCGTTTGACTCAGGGTGACCTGAACCACAAGTGCAACAAACAAGGAACGATGGCATATGGCATCTGCCAAGATCAGTCGAAATCGAATCGAGCTCATATTCGATCTGCATCTTGTTTCTCTTGAGCAGACCACTTTTTTCTAGTCGTCGTTTTACGAGGTATACGAACATATACCCGATTGAGAATGGCCACCTTGATAGTCAGGGAATACCCCAGCTGAACTTTAACCCCAGTCGACTGCCATGATCTATTGAATACTATTATGAACCCCTCAATAGCCCGGAAACAAATCAGATCGAGTCCCGGGTTCAGGGGTGGAGGAGCCATGGTATTGTGTCCCGTAGTCGGTAAACTTACATAGATTATTATTATTGGAATTCTAAAGTTAAGAGCCGGCGTAACTGTCTTGGGTTCTTAGTCCGAAGCTACAGGTAGGTGTCAAGGTTTGGGGGACTGAGTTTATTGTTTATTGGTTGTTGTATACGAGGGGTTATTGCATTGATTGATTGGATCGAGGTTTTGATGTTATTGATTTTGTAGGTTAGATAGTCCTAACTCCTGGCGGTTATGTTTTCATGTGACTGTGATGTGCTACATGTAGATCCTATCTGTTGTGAAAAGGGGCCTCTGGTTGATGAGCATCACATGCAGAAGGCGCGGTCTGAAGCTTGACGGCTCGGATAGAGTCCGTGTTCATGCTGATGCTGTTCATCTACGGAACAGGCGGATTCATTGATCTTCAAGATTCAGTAACTGAGACCACTATTCAGAGCAACGGCCGAGTAACATCCTCACTTAACCTCCGAGTAAAGTACAACAGAAGTAGGAATACCAATCTGCCGAAAGTACATGTACAATCCATATTCTCGTCGTCTGGTCCCATGTCCTCATTTCATATCTTACGCTTCGTTGCGATCGTAACTACATCGTTTCTCGTCGTCGTGGGTCTTCACATCGACTTCCGTAAAAGAAGAAATCAACCTAATTCGGGGTAGAGTCATAAAACATGATCATCGTCGGTAGAGTAGATTCGAAACTGTGTCAAAGTTCAGTCAAGTCATCTCCTTCGCGAGCCTCGATCGCGATCGCGGCGGCTGGGATGTGCCTCTTCCTCTTCCTCGTCTTCCTCCTCGACGGGCGCGGGGGTGCGTCGTTCGGTGCGACGCTTGGGGCGTCGTCGCCGGTTGGAACTGATGTTGCTGGCCGAGTCATCGGGCGCCAGTGATCGGTCATCGTCAATCCCATCATCTTCCGTTCCGCTTTCCCAAGTCCCCAAGGCGGACGACGGAGTGCCGAGTCGTGCCTCGACGTACGATCCGCGGCGGTTCTGATTGGCGATGGACAGGCCGGCTCCGCGTTCACGCAGCGCGCGCCGGACGACCTCCGCCTTGCAGTGAAGAGCTTCAAAGGCATCCTCCAGGGCTTCCATTCCGAGGAAAATCTCACGCTCGATCTCAGCGAGAGCCGCGATCTCCGTCTCCTCGTCTAGCGCAATGGGCCCGCCGAAGGATGCAGGCGATGATGAATTGACACCATACGGCTGACTGGCCGGTCGAACGCCACCGTCCATATGGCTCGGTGTCGGACCGCGGGACATTCCCCCTGTAGTGAACGGCGTATTCGATCGACTGCTATTCCAGCGTGAAGGGGTCGCGCCTGGGACTCCTGGGATCGGATCCTCAGCGCCACTGCGCAAGAACCCATCAAACCGACCTGAGATGAGGATATCCCATTCGTCATCGCTGATCGCAGCAAGGGTTGCGAGTACATGGTGGATGCCGGGGTTGTTCAACATATAGATTGCGGTTTCAGGATCACGAGGCAGAGAGGATAGCCGGTAGAGTCGTTGAATGGCGATTGACGATGACACAAGCGCCTGCGGTTTAGCTCGAGGCTGCTGGTCGTCCGTTCGTGGGATGGGTGTCGACGTGGACTTAATACCCAAAAGCGAACAGAACAATGGACGCAGCTCCGGACCAAGATGTGTTAGCATTGCAAAGGTCAACGTCTCGTCATCCACCTCCTCCGGAGCACTGGTAGGCTGCGCGACTTGTTCATTCAACCACTTATCCACTGCAGCCTTGGTCTTGCGCGACTGCCGGAGATAATGGTCACGGTACTCTTCGGGTACGTCAATGTCCATTTTTTGCATGGGAATGTGCTCATCGCCCGACAAGTCGGCTTCGACTGTTGGAGCCATCATGAACGGAGGCCAGCTAGGCAGTTCCCTGCGACCAGATACCAGCTCGAGTACCTCGCCCCAGCTCACTCCTGATGGACGCTCTTCCATCTCATCGTGATCACACATCAGGCAGTGACATGATTCGGATGAGATGTCACGTGCAAACACTGCTTCCAGCCGGTCGAGAAGCCGCCGAGCGACAGACCGGTACCCCGTCGCCACAGCCAGCGAGCCGTTCTTGACCATGACGTGCTGATAGTCGTCGAGAAGACGATTGAACGGATCAAAGACTTTGGCAGCCGCAACAGCAGGCTGCAACTGCTGCTGAGGGGGCACGTCTGGGTGCTCCGGACCCAGCAGTAATGTCTTCGGTACTCGATGGTCCAGACCGCCATTCTGTAATAGGTAGTCGACTCTAGGGATGGAAACGGGCACCTCTGGCGGCGGAGGAGGGGGAGGGGGAGCGCCGAATGTGGAATTAGCGGTTGGCGGACGACCATAATCAAATGCGATATCAACCGGCGAACCGCTCCCTGGTCTAAACGAATGTGACATAGACGACCGCGTTTGGTTTCGTGAAGGCGGTTTGACAGGAGGAGTTTGTGTTTTCCGGGACGTGATCGATGGCTGATGCGGTGCAATGGTGGCGTCAGATCCGTTTGCCGACCCTGACCCAACTTCACGCACCGTCGCGGGGGATCGAGGCGGGGACAGAGTACCCCGGCTTGACGACCGCTTGGGGGGGCTGACCTCATCGGCGATCTTCGCTTTGGAAGACTTTTTGCTTGCAACCCGAGCCGGTGTATCTTTCCCTTTGTTGGATTTCGGGGTCTCTGGCCTCTCCGTTTTGCTTGACTTGGACGCTTCATCTCTTTTCGAGCGCAAACTCGAAGACGATCTTGTAGACTCGGCTCGAATCCGAATCTTCGTCTTCAGGTCCTTGGGTTTTGCTTTTTTCTCCTCTGCCGCCTTCTCTTCCTTGTCGCCGACCGTGCTTCCCTTGTGGGAAGAGTTCTGATCCAGACTCGTCAAGGGTGGGCTGGGAGGCGCATGCCGACTATCCGTACGATGCTTGTTGTCTGCATCCCCGCTCTCTTTATTCTCCTCTGTCAAGTCGGTCGGATCCGGCGTGGGAATACCCGGTTTGCCGACGGCCTCTCTGCTATGGGCTTTCGAGAACGTAGGGTAAGGCAGACTGGTTCTCGACTCGAGGAAAGAGGCCGTAGCGGAACGGCTGGCGGCGTCGACGCCCGGCATGGAGGACCGACGCTGCTGGCGCGAGCTGGAGATGGAAGTAGATAACGATGTGGTGGAGGAGTGGCCCGTGGGGATGTCACGGTCTCGATCCTTGGTTGAGGGGCGGGAGGGCCGTCCGTGGGACGAGCGGTGATGACGTTGTTTGGGCTTTGACGATGTAGAAGATGAGGATGGCTTTCTGTCCCGGTCCCTGTCGCTATCTCTGTCATTTAGTCTCAAGGGAAATAGCATGACGGGATGAGAGAGGTCCGACATAGGTAGGACTGGGCTGGGATAAATGGACGGAGAGATGGAAGACGACAGGGCGTGCGATCCCGTCGGTTCTTCAGCGTCTCTGTTCGACCGGAGTTGTATGTTTCGTCTAGTTACCTCGTCAAAAATAGAGTCAAGTCAAGAGGATGACTACCTCGTGGAGGACAAGATGCTGTGCCACAGTTGGAGTGGGATCGTCTGCCTGTTGGCAGTATGTCGTCTGGCGCTTAATTTGAGAGGAGGGCCGCACTGCTCACTGGTCGGATACCGGGCAGGGCGCTCGTGTCAATCATGCCGTCGCATGCGAGAGAATGTGAGAGAAAAGAAAGTTTGACAGCCTGAGTAATCGAGACGATCAAAATGGTGTTGCACGAGAAGATCGAGCAAAGAATTAGTACATCAGTCAGAGAGAAGGAAAGATTCGATGGGGAAGAATTATGCGGTGAGGAGTGGAATCATCGTTTCTTCCCCGCGCAGTTTGGGCTAGTTGGTAGTCCTAGTTGGGTTGGAGACTGACTCTGGGGGTGACAGAGTGACGTGGTGCTGCATGGAAACCCGATAGGCAGGACAGTAAGGCTACATGGGCAGAATTATTTCAGACAATCACTGCGAAGAGGACAGTAAAGGTTTCAGTCTGACAATAATCTCTGATGTGTTGTTGCTGCTGTTCCACCGGTACTTTTGAGTCTCGTCATTCACACCTCAGGCAGCGAACTGATGGATGCCTTCGCGATGTGTTTTGAGTGTCATCAGTATTGTAACAGAAACGTCGAATTTTCTAGATTTTCCCTATGAACGATCTTTTACAGGGTATCTTTTGATTGAATTCAAGACATCAACACCTGTTCCCAAGCAACCCAACGCCGTCTTCCATAATCAACCAACATCAAATCCCAGATGCATTCAACTCCATGCTGTTAGACCATTCGCGACCTTCTTCACTGGCGACATCTCCAACACAAAATTGCCATCCTGTTCCTGAGCCACACCTCCTCGTCGTGCAGCACGCATCATCTTCTCGCTGGCTCGGTTGCGCTCGCCCGTGTGCCGATCCCAAACCCAGCCTTCCTTGAGCCACATCCACGTCAAATACGCCCGTAGCTCCTTGTCCTGTGGTAAGACTGATTTCCATTCTGGTTCAAAATCTGCTGATGCCGTGCCATTGCCTTTCCAGTCCTTCGCTAGTCCCCGCAGCTCATCTCGGCAGAAGATGCGCCAGCTATCCAGCGAGTACGGGCCCACACCAGGCAGATGTGCGATCTCCCATGCTACACGCGTGTCGTCCTCGTCGTCGCCGATGCATTCTTCGCGGCCGACGTCTTTTCCATCCATCTTGCGTGGGTAGTGCAGTCTGCGGTATCGTCTGCCCTTCGTCGGTGGACGATCCAGCCATGTCTTAGCAAGATCGATGCATTTTTTGGCTCGCTCGTTCTGAAATCCTAAGGAATGGATCATGGAGACCAACTGCGAGAAATCGGCCTTGCTCATATCGTGGACTGTCGGGAAATGGTCAAAAACTCGGAAGAGAACAGGCAAAGCAACGCCTCCGCGAGTCCGATTTAGAAAGATCGTAGCGATAAGCAGACGAAATGGATCATGTGCGAGCTGCTCTTGCACCAAACCGAATGTGGGGGCGTCAATCGAAGGGAAAGGCAGACAGGAGTCGGGATCGATGAGCGGCTTCGGGAAGTAAGGAGACACTTTAGGAGGCCTAGGACGAAGTGTCATAACGAACGGGACGTCAGGGTCCGCAGATGATGCGCTTCTCAGTGGAGTCCTAGGGATCCCTTCCGCAGGTGTAACAAAGGTCTCGTCTCGAACAGGCGGTTGCATCACGTCACGCAAAAAAGCATCATGATCCAAGATGCCGTCGTCACTCGGCACATCACTCAGGTCCGAGTCAGAGTCCAGAAAGTCAAATGGTAGGCCAAATTCGGTCAACATGTGCTGAGTTTCCTCAGGAATAGGCTTGTAATGTAGGACATAATTAGCAGAATAGGTAGCGGGTATCTGGCTGATCGACGCCAGACCATCCACTTGCTGGGGTCTCAGAAAGTATTTTGACTTCACCTCATCGCTGGCGGTCACACCTTGCGAATCATCGGTTCTTAAAAATCCAGAGTCCAAAAAGGGTCATCAAGGATGAGAACGTCCTTCTCAACTTTGTTATCACCACCGTTCTTCCGGCCGAACTTCTTGGTCGTAGCATCCTCTTCAATGTGACAATCTTCAGCTGCAAGGTCTTGAACCTCCGAGTCCTTCAGGCTCTCCCGATATTTCTCGGCTCTTCTCTTCCTGCGGCTCCGGCGCTTTCTGTGATTCTTCTCTTTCTTGGGTCTGGCTGTGCTCTCCTTGCGCGTTTTCGGCTTACCCGAAGGCATAGGATTCGCTGAATGTGCGTCTGGGACAGCTGTGGTCACATTTTTGGGTCCATCGGAGTCACTTTCCAGATAAATGGGTTCGTCTTTGGAATTCGCAGGTGAGGGCAGAGAGTGCTCAGAAGAAGTAAAGGCGCTTGCTCTGTTGTTGCGTTTCTCTGGCGTGATAAAAGAGAGACCGTTCGATCTGTCGCCTTGCAACGAACGATCGGACTGCTTGCTGATGCTTGGGCGCCTCTTCGGTAACTCTTCCGCAGGCGATATGCTCTCCAAACCCTCGGGCTCAGTGACACTAGCGAAAAAGTCCTCAAGAGGATACTCGGCCTCAAGATCGATTATCTCACGCTTGGAATCGTTGTGCGAGTCAGCCATTGAGGTAGTACGCTTCTCCTCAGAAGACTGCGAAGACTGCGATCTGCTCTTCTTAGGTTCCTGTTTAGCAGTGTCGCCATTCGACCGCTTCCTTTTCCGATCCTTCTTGGAGATCTTCGAGGACCTCCTTCCCTCCTCCGACATGTCATCAATCTCGTCCCCAAATTCTGAGCCTTGGGTATCGCCGTAGTCCTTTCCGTACAGATCGAGATAGGTCTTCCTCACATAGTCTGTCAATCTGTCAATCGAGTGCTCGTCCATGCCAGTCGACTTCGCTTGTTCATAGAGCTCGCACACAAAGGTCCGCCTTTTGGACCGCCTCACAGGATATGAACCACCACGCATAAATGGATGCGATGCAATGAAATCTAGCAAGCGAGCCTGCGCTTCCGGTTCAACAGAAGCGAAGACAATATCTTCCTCAGCGATGTCATCGTCGAGAGCGTTCCCCTTGGCTTTAGCATATGTTTTATTCTTATGGTGCTCGTTCTCGATGTTGTTATCGGCCACCTGAATTTTCACGAATTCGACCGACGTAACAGGGGTGACGTCGTCCTCATCCTCATCCTCGCCTTCGTCCTCGTCATCGTCTTCATCTTCGTCGTCGACATCAATTCTAGTAATACTCCTCTTCGATCCGACGCGCCGTTCAGACGTCTGGCCCTTCGAGAAGTAAGGCGACTCTTTGTGTGTACGTCCAGTTCTCTTGCCGACGGAGGCTCGGCCAGTCCCACGCTCTCGCTGTGGGGAGTCATTCGCCCCGTCCATGGAGGTGCCACCATTATATGTGTCGAATGAGGCGTCGAAGCTAGGCTCGTCCGAGAGGATCTCGTCCACGGTGCGAATGTATTCCTCGTCAAAGGGTTCGTAGGAGTCCAAGTTGACGGTGGGAGGGGAGATGACGACGTAGACAGTGTGAGGTGACATTTTGGGCGAAGTCACGGACTATCGTAGTTATTCCTCGTGCTGTAAGTAATTTGATGTGCTTGTAGTTGTTGAAGCAGTAGGTCTGAGTGTTGTAGGTCTGTCAGACATGGTTGGTTCTGTCTGGGTGATGCCTTTTCATGGCTAACACAAAGGTGAAAAGTGTCAGTGAATAACACTCTCACTGAGAATTTCAGATATTCACTCATTGACATGAAACAATCACCTCATCCATACCGGCCTGCCTTCGCCCTACAATAGTAAGTGAAGCTATAGCTTCCGCATATTGAATGGGCAGCAAAGGAAGTGATGCAGACTTCGAGTCGGGCTTGACAGGCTTAAAATAAGAATAATGTCTAATTAATCAAGGCTTAGATTTGAGAGATGCCTGCTCTCTTTGAAAGTCCCGTATAAGGCGGATTGAGCTGGATTCTAAGGAACACTGCTGGTGGAAATAATTTTAGATGCAACAACACGACGCGGAGAAGGACGGCGCACAGGCCAATGGAGATATCCAGGTACAACAACGTGATAGGTCCAGTGCCAAGGTTTACCTGTCAATTGACCACGATGATCAAAATGGAATCAATCATAAGAAAAATACCCAATCACACCTTGATTTATACCTTAGGCTAATAATTATGTGGTTGATCTTATTGTCACAGGGAATCTTGATATTGGGATATGTAGTTCCAAACTGCAGGTTGCTTATGAGCAACATGCCCGTAACCAGAACAGAGTAAGAAGCAGAATTAAAACGACTTCATTAACGCCTTGATATATTCTCAGGGACATATCCTTAACTTTTCGTGGTATCTACGCCCTTTGCATTCTCAGATAATAGCTCTCTCTAATAGTTTTGCTCCCGTTAGGAGAGCCTATCCAGCGTCAGCAACTTTTCGAATACACAAAGGGACGATTTTTGGTTAATGAGAAACATGAAATGCCAAACGCTATGTCAAACTTGATCTTGATGCTATATGCACGCTAGTTTCGTCCTTGCCCTCTATCTCCTCGCCTATATCCAAATTTGAGAAATGGAAAGCGGCTTCAACAAAGCTTTGTTGATGACTGCGGAAAACGGCAGAGAAGTCATCGCAAAGATACCCTGCCCCAGTGTTGTGCCGGTGAGGTATAGTACTGCGTCTGAAGTTGCTACATTGGGATATGGTAAACTATGTCGGCGCCGTTGTAAAACCTCACTACTAATACGGTTGTTCTTCCAGTGAAGTCTCATACTTCTATTCCGGTATGCAAAGTCCTTGCCTGGAGCTGTGATGTTCTAAACCCTGTCGGGAACGAATACATTGTAACGGAGAAGGCCAAGGGACGGCAGCTAGTCGAAGTATGAGGCGAGATGGATCAGTCGCAAAAGTTCAAACTTATCCAAAACCTCGTCCAGCTGGAAAGCCAGCTGGCCTCAATGAAGTTCCCTGGTTACGGAAACTTGTACCTACGTCATTCGGTTCAACACTTGAGTCGAGTGATACCTATAGATGGTGTCTATTGCAATGGTCCTGTCTACAATGCATCTTGGTTTCCGCAGTTCGACCACAAGAATGACGCCGGTCCATGTCTGTTTCTATCCTCTATGTGGCTGATCCGATGCTAACATCTACTTCTCACAGGGGAAGATCTCTGCGATCTTGGACTGGCGTTAGCCAATCGTGGCCTTAGACATGTACAGCATTCGACTCTTGTTTAACGTGTGGCCCATTATGGCCCCGAAGATGAGCATATTCAGATCTTAGAATCTGCGTCGAAGATTATACCGATACTAGCCGGCTATACTCCACTGCAACGGTTCTCTAACCCAACACTGTGGCATGATGACCTTCACTTGGGCAATATATTTGTTTGAGACAAAGACCCTACAAATATCTTGAGCATAATAGACTGGCAATCTATGTCAATCATGCCCGCGTTTATGCAAGTCCAGTGGCCGTCTTTCCTTTGCCCTCCCGACGACTACGAAATTGGGATGGTCAAACCAGAGCTACCGGCCAACTTCGATGAGATGGACTCGGATGAGAAAGCTTTCGCGATAACGGAGAGAGATCAAGCTTTGCTGACAAAATGTTACGAAGCGGCACTCGCCAAGAACCACCTTCAATCATACTTGGCCTTCACTCGAGTCGATCCTGCCATCCGGCATTTGTTTACTTTCTGTGAAACCACATCTAAGAATGGGATCATACCACTTCGTGATTCTCTGGTGCAGATTTCTGAAAAAATGCCAAATTATCAAAGCACAGCTTCGACCTTGCTAGGTACAAGGTTTGGCACAAACTAAAGTCATACGCTCAAGAATTGCTGCAGTCAGATGATGATGGCTGGGTGCCCCCTCAACTTGACTTTGATAAGGTCAAAGCAAGGCATGTTGAACCCTTCCAGATTTACATCCAGAAAGAAACAGAAGAACGACCGGAAGAAGAGGCAATGAAGCTTTGGTTTTATTTCTGTAGAGAATATGGGTGATTGTCCTTCCGGATCAACCATTCTTGAAATCTTAGAGCGTCCTAGACGTTTGGGGAATGCTCAAGACAGATATCATTTGAAGTATGAGAAGGAAGGAGACATAATATTCCTTTTGGATTATCATCTACGCCGCTGGTTTGGTGCGGAAAGGTACCTCAAGGTAAGCCAGAGCCTGTCGGATCCGTGACGAGACGAGAGAAGTGGTAAGTACATCTCCCAGCAGCTCCAATAGCACACAATATGCCGATCAGCGATGCTATTGACTTGAATTAGCTAGACAGTCAGTTCAGGACAAGTCAAGGATCGTAATTTCATTTCCCATATATACATGAGGTATAAAGCGCTGTAAATCTATTCTGGACGATTTATATACTTCGCAGCCCAGAATACTTGCCAGTTAAACAGTTCTAGAGGTGTTCTGTCGCCTGAATTGCATCTATGTTTTTCCTCGACGCATGATTCGTAAAATTGATTTCCACAGCAACACTCAAATCGAGAAGCCTCCCGAATCCAACTGTCGGGGCTCTCCAGCGGCGTCAAATGTTCCGTTCGGCAGGACCCGGATGGCCTGCGCCGTGCTCTGACCTGGAGCGACCCAAGTCACATTATGACCGCGAGACTTCATGAAATCGACGGTTGAATTGTCATAGGTATACTCGAAGGTGACCTGGTTCGGTATTAGCTGATCGTGCAAACGGGGTTGAGCCAATGCCTGCGCTGCCGATAGTCCTTGGTCAATAACGCGGATTATATTTTGCACGGTGGCTGTTATAATCCGGCTACCACCAGCGGAGCCAGCGAGGAAAAATAGCTTTCCATCCGGGCGTGTGACTATGGCGGGTGTGATGGAAGACAGTGGACGCTTTCCAGGGCGAATGTAGTTCGCCTTTGAAGGAGCATAACCGAATGAATTGGATTTTCCAGGAACGGAGAAATCTGATTAAAATATTAGTTTACTTGAATGGGGTCAGACAGTGCAGCACTTACCGTCCATTTCGTTGTTCATTATGACTCCGGTTTCAGGAACCATGACTTGGCTGCCAAAGAGGGTATTAATGGTTGTGACGAGGGAGATCGCCAGGCCAGTATGATCTGCCGCTACCACATGTGATGTACCCGAGCTGGACTTGTTAGTAAAGACGTTCAAAAATGACAAAGGATATTCGTACTCATTCAGACTCTCAATTCCTTGCGGATCGTAGGCAGACACATTGTGTGTGCGGTAATCGGAGATCTTTCGTCGAATTTCATCAATGGTGGATTGCTTCAACATGTCTTCTTCATACTCATCCAGCCCAGCAACGAAAAGAGGGTCGCCGAGATTAGTTCTCTTTGCCTCTGGTCAGTCGATTTCTCGCGCTGCTTATTGAGGAAAGCAATTCAACATACCTCACCATACCCAAAACGCATGGCTTCGTCCAGTCGGTGTGTGCTCAAGTTCACATTACCCGGGGCGAAGAAGTCATCGTAAGTACTCAGAATCTTCAGAATACTCATGGCAACGGTTCCACTTGAGGGAGCTGATGTGCTTGTGATCTGGTATCCCCGATAATCAATCTGTGACACATTTCGAATGGCTACAGTATAGTTGCGCAAATCCTCCATTGTCATGGTACCATTCTCGGCCTGCAGCGCGTTGATCATTGTCTCCGCGATCGGTCCTGAGTAAAAAGCATCCGGACCCTTGTTTGCGATGGTTTCGAGCGTATCAGCGTAGCGCTTCCGAGTCATGATGTCTCCCAGTCCAACCCGGGTGCCATTGGGAGCGAAGTCGAGCGCCCATGTCGGGTTCTCGACTAAAAAGTCCTTGCCGTCACCAACAGCCGATTTCATGTACTTCACTAGATCTCGACCAACGGGAAAGCCCTCACGAGCTGTCCTGATTGCAGGTTGCACCAGGACCGACCACGGCAATGAACCATACTTCTTGTGAAGATGCTCCAGTCCACGCAGCTCGCCAGGAACGCCACTTTGAAACACATTAGTTCTCTTGCGCAATTCAGTAGGATGAAGTGAATCTCACCTAGCTAAGCCGCCAATGGTGGATGCGTGAGTTGAGTTATTGAACATCTCCTCGAATGCGGCCGCAGGAGCTGTCTCACGGAAGTCGATGAACTCGAAGGAGCCATTAGGAGCCCGGACTAGCATAAAGCCACCGCCCCCAATACCACTATGGTACATTCCTGGGAATACAATCAGTTGATTGATCTGGTCCGGTTCTCAATGCGGCAGCTTACCAATTACTCCGACACAGAGGACTGTCGCGACCAGCTACATCGTAAAGCTTAGTACTACCCTGAAAGACTCGCGATTGGTGCTCTCCTATGGATGGGACAAGGCTGGAGCTTGAAGAACTTACAGCATCGGCCGCATTTCCACCCAACTCTAGAATGTCGATTCCATGGCGACTGCAGATAGCACTCTCACTTGCGACTGCCCCCCGCTTTCCATCCTTTACATGATGACCTTGATGATCTCCACCATTGGGATTACTGCAGGTAAGATCCAAAGGTGAAGTAAGTGCA